GACGTCCACGGCGGCGCGCGCCCAGTCTGGGCAACGGGCCGCCCCCGAAGACGGAATGGGCCGGGGCGCCCGTCTCGCCGCCCTGGCGAACGTCTCTGGGGCTCCAGAGTCCATGTCGCGGATGCCTCTCCATGCGGCGCTGGGCCATCCTGGTCGATTGACCGCGGAGCCCCTTGCGGCGCCTCCACTCGATGCCGCGCGCGGGGCCCGCGGCTTTCAGGGCGCCCTTGAAAGGTCGCCTTGAAGTGTGCGCATTTTTTCCAGGTCGCGAACTCCTCGAGGATGGCGGCGGCCACCTCCTGGGACAGCCTCGAAACCTCCCCTTTGGACAGGAGATCTGCGTCGCGCTTGATCGCGGCGGTCTCGACGGCGGCGTCGACCTTGGGCGCGGCTGGTGGGCGCGCTGGCAACGCGCAGTTGCTCTCGCGCAACTCAGACATGCCTCTCGCGCTGAGGTGCCCAGGTGCAGCTCCGCGCGTTATCCCCCTTCATCCGCGTCCTCTGCTAGGCGTTGTCGACTCAAGAGGTGCCGCGCAAGTAATGGCGATGCGCTCCTGGATGAGTCGAGCGATCCGCTGGCCCTGCTTGACCGCCGCTGTCCGCGGACCAGTCGCGCATGATCGCCTTGATCGCGCCGCGGTAGTCGGGGCCCGCCGCTCCGTCCGCGACGCCGACGCCCTTGAGGGCCAGTCCTGAGCGCGGGGCGATCTATGCACAGGTGCCTGGCGGCGCAAGAGCGGCCGCGCCCGTTGGCGCCAATTCGCGACCAGGGGTCGCGACGCTGGCGCCCGCGCAAGCGAGTATGTCGCAGCCTGCTGCCTGTGGAGTGCCACGTAAGGGCGCTTGCGCACTGGGGTGCAGAGGCTGTGTTGAGAGCTTCTTCAATAAGCGGCCGTCGTCGGCGTCGTCGCCCTGCCAGTTCTAGTCGCATGACCTGCTGAGGCGGTAGGCCCCCCGCTCGGTGGCTGGAATTGGTCGCGGGCGCCTGGGCCCCAGCCTCTGGGGCCGGGAATAGGGAGGCGCATGTCTATGCGATGCGCCTGTCTCCAGAATCCCGCCGTTGGACTGCGTGGATTGCGCGCCGCGAAAGGCAGGGGGACCGAAGCCCTGCGCTGGGTGGTCACGCCGTCGCGGGCGGCGGCCACAATGGGGCATTGCGCCTCCAAATTCGCAACCTGTTAGCCGCTGCCCGCTCCTGCAGCGTGGAGTGGCCCGCTGCGTGGAGTGCAGACGTCCGCCGCTCCTCTGCGGCCTGGAGCCTCGCCCTCATGCCTTTGTCGGCCAGGTTCATCGCGCGCCGCTGCCCCCCCCCCCCCCCCCCCGCATCCACAATGACACGCGGCCGGCCGCTCGGGGGCCCAGTGCTCGCCAAATAGCATGCTGAGTAGGTTTGTGGACTCGAGCCCGTGACTGGCGAGGCGGTCCGCCGCGGGAACGGTGGTCGGCGCGGCGGGGCATGTTGGTCCAAGCGGGTTGCGCGGCGCTGCAGCGCCGGGAGCGGGCGCCGATTGGATGCGTTGCCTAGAGGCCGGCTGCGATCCTGCCGCGGTGTCCCGGGCGTCGGCGCGGGCCGAAGAGTCTGCGCGGCGCCCTGCTCTGGCTGCGTCAGCTCTGGCGCGCTTCTGCCCGGCGTCGGCTGGGCCAGCACCGCGGGCGCCGGGCCAGGAGAGCCAGGGTCTGCCGCGCGGGCGGGCAAGGCAAGTGCATGATCCGCTGCAATGCGTTCGACGCCAATCAGGCGGAACGCGGCGATGACGTCGTCAGCCAGACCCTGGCGCGCCGGGCAATGCACCAGGTGGGCGTCGGTGTTCTGCCAGAACTGTAGGCGGCGTGCCTGGCGCAGGATGCGCCGGCGCTGTAGGCGCGCAACTCGATCGCCGTGTGCGAAGCTTCTGAGAGAAAGAAGACACCCCCTGCCGTCGCCGTTGAAAACCGCGACGCGGGCGGCAGCGGGTGCCGCAGCTGGCCGAGGAGATGGATTCGCGGGTGTTTGTGTTCAACTCTGTGCGGCTCGTCGTCGCTGATCGTCCTGCTGTCGTGAGAGCTCAAGTGCAAACTGAGCGCCGAGGACTTCGTCGAGTTCTTGCCGTTGCGCGCGGTCGAGCGCTGAGCCTACTCCGCGTTCGGATCGCGCGCCGCTGGACACCCAGGCGCCGCGGCTGGCGACCCACGCGACTACTCCCCAAATGGCGGGCTCGCGTCACTGGGGGCGCGCTGGTTGAAGAGAGCCAGATCTTTGGGCGACTCCGGCGTTGGCGGCGCCACGGCTGCCGGCGCGGACTGCGACGGCCACGTGGAGCTCGCGCAACACGACGTGATGAGCCGAGCGCTGAGAAAGATGGCATGCGGGCCCAGCGCGGAAATTGCGCAACGGCAGACGGGGTAGCTGGCGCCGCGGGGGATGTATGTCTCCTCCCCAGTCTCGGCCCTGCCGTGGCCCCAGCGGGAATGCGCTGGCCACTCCGGCCCAGCGCCCTGGTGTCAGTGATGGCGGTGCTGCTGCTGGCGCTGCACTCCGCTGGAGCGGCGGGCGCCGCGGGCGCTGCTTTCCCCGCCCCTGCCGCGCGAACTGGCAGCGTAGTTGCCCTGTCCGCCGCGCGAGCAGAGCCCTGGCACGCGCTGCCCATGAGGGCGTTCATCCCCTGGCGCAGTCGCCGAAGCTCGGCCTTGCGAGGCTTGGGCGAGCACGGAGAAGATGATGAAATGCCCGCCCAACTCGACCAATGGCTCTGGCCCTGGCCAACTGCCCGCCAAGAATCGTTGGACGCAGCACTGGGATCTGCTGCTGCCGGCGTTGGTACTGGCCGCGTAGCTGCTGTCGGCTGGCCGAGGTCCCAAAGATCGGCGCCCTGCGTGGGGTCGCCGTTATCGGGTCCCAGAACCGCGGGTTCGGGCATCCTGTAAGACCCCCTGATCATCCAGACCGAACAGGCACCTGGTGCTGTTTGTTGAGGAGCCAGTTCAGGCGCCCCGTGGTGACCCAGGTGCGCATGCGGCGAGGGTGCCGGCGTCGGCGGTGGCGGTGCTGCCAGGACTGGGGCGTCGAGGAAGAGGGCGTGCCCTGGCTTGCGCCGACGGGGGCGGTCGCGTGCGAGGTGCTCGTCGAATTCGCACTCGCGGCACTTGAGACGTGTCCCGCCAGGGCCCAGTGGGTTGCCTTGTCGGCCAATTCCCAGCTCACGAAGCCGGCGAAGGTTTCGCGGGGGTCGTTGTCGGGCAAGTCGGCCAGGAAGGCGCAGTTGTCTTCTCCGTGGTCCTTGCCCTGACGCTCGATGACCCTCCGCGCGGAGCGCGTGGGCCCGCTGCCGCGAGAGCGGCGCAATCGGGGCTCGGCGCGCTCGTTGGCCCGAAAGAGGCGCGCGCCGCGCTGCCCCGCGAGGACTTCGTGCAGCGCGGGGTCGTCGGCACAAATTTCTTCGCCGAGTGAGCTGACGGTGCCGGAGTCTGTGCCAGAGTTGAAACTCGGCGTTTGACATTTCGCCGGCGGGCCGCGCCCGCGCGGGCGGCTAATGGTACTGAAGGGGGACTCGATGGTGCTCCTAGGACCGCAGGGCCCGTGCCATCCCAGCTCGATATGGACCCAGTGCCGCGGCCGCTCTGATGCGGATCGCGCGCGCATGCCCGTGAGGAACGCTTGGCATTGTGGCGAATGCAATCCCGATGCGAGATTGCCTGGGTGGCCCTCGGCCATGTGTCCAATACTGCGTAGCTGGCCCATCGCCCCAAGATTGTTAAACGGTCCCCCGGGAAAATGTCAACGCAAGTCCCCGACCTTCCTTTGCATTCCCGTTCTTGTGTGTGCGCGCGCCCCCCAGCTTCCAGAACGTTGCTGCGTGCTGCTCGGGGCGCTTTGCCGACGCCGACGATTTGTGCGTCGGTTCGAACGGCTGTTTGACATGGTCGGCTACGCCCCAATGCGACTGCAATGAAGGCGATGCGCCCCTTGCCTCTTCCCCTCGGGCTCCCGCGACAAAGATGCGAATAACCCGGGGCCCTGCGTCGACGCCGGGAACGAGGTCGGATCGTTCGACGGTCTGACATTGACGGCAGCACTCACATGCGAACGCTATGAAAACGCATGGACCCCGAGCGTCTCGACCACAGTGAACGAGTACCCGAAGGAAAAGACAGGTGGGCGGGGGGCGCATTTTGTGTGGTAGTCGTACTTGTACTTGAGGATGTGTTGGGTCTCCTGCGCGGCTGATGGCGGCTGGGGTTGGCTGGCCCCGCGGGCCCCTCGAGGCACGGCGCCTGCCGGGGCGAAGTGGGTGACCAACATGAGCACGATGCGAGAAGAGTCGCCGCGAGCACACGGGGACGCCTCGCGGGCCATGGCTGGCGGCGAATGGTCGCTGAACGGGCTGCTCCGTTACCAACTCGAGATCAAGATGTGAAGTCAAAAGCAAACCGATTTTACAATGCGAGAAATACTTAGGTTTGTGAATATGACACGCGTATAGCACGGGCACGGAAGCTGGCAACATTCAGTACCCAAGGCCAATAACAGCAGCGGACAGGAACACAATTGGAACATGGCAGTTGGCCCACTAAATGGGATGATTTTTCCGGGAACATATGGTAAGGTCCCAGTCGGTTCGGCCGGAAAGAAGGAACATGCGGAGGAACCGCTAGAGGCACGTGCGCGGACGAGGCGTGGGGGTGGGGTGCTGGTGGGTGGGGGGGGGCGGGGGGGGGGGGGGGGGGGCAAAAAATGCACTGAAATGGTAAGAGGGGGCCAAGACATCCTGGGGGACACCATGGCCCTGGCCATGGTGGCCCCACACTCCCCCAGTCTTCACCCCCCTTTTGGTTGCCCCGTTGAAAGAGGAAACGCGCCGCTCTGAAACGACGGGGAAAGGATGGAGGCCCCACCAGTCCAGCGGGGAACGCCTTGGCACGCGTAGCCGCCCTGCCACGGTAGCAGGTGGCCGCGGAGATGGCGGGCAGGGCGACGACAGTTGTGGGCGACAGAGGAGCAGGAGGGGAGCGGGGGCAGCGACGTTCTGCAGCGAAAGCGCGATGGAGCTGGCCACGGTGAACGGGCTCATGAGGTAAGACAGGCCGACGAACGCGGGACTGACCTCGCGCGGGCAGGAGGCGGGAGTGGCAGCGCGACCGGGGAGGAGAAGGTGGAGAGCTGGCGAAAGCGGCGGGAGGAGGAGGAGGCGGAAGGGGACCACCGCAAACCCAAGACTCACCAATAAACTTGCAATGAACCCTCCCTCCAAGCTCCTTCTTCATAGGCCCCTACAGAGGTTTACTTCCACTGAAGGGAATAACCCGCTGGGAGACAACCGTTTGAACATCCTGAAACGTGTCAAAATACAGTTCCTGGGATTCCAACGCCACGAATCAACCTTACTGTTGCGCCCTGACGATCCTGAACCGTGCTAGACAACCAAAAGCGATATCTACATGTTGGAGTAAACAAAAAACGCCCTCACCCCGTAAAACTCTTGCAAACACTTAAGACGAGTGTGCGAGGCACCAACACGAGAACCACATGTTGAAAAGAAACCGCCCCAGAATCTGTGAAGTCCTTGCAAAGGTGCAGTGCGAGTGTGCGCGGCGCGAAGACGAGAGCCCCAGATTGAAAACGGCCCGTCCTAAATCAGTGAACCTCTTGCACTTTACTCAAGACGAATGCGCGTGGCGCGAGGGCGAGATCGACATGTTCAAAAAGGAACCGCCCTCAATCCGCGCAGCTCTGCACGTGTGTAATACGAATGTTCGCGGCACGAGGGCGAGAGCCACAGGTTGGGAGCGCCACGCCCTCCATGTGCGAAGCGGTTGCCCGGCTGTGAGCTTCAAGATCATGAGTGGTAGGGGGGTTTCAGGCGAAACACCCAACCCACACTTCCGACTGGCCTCGGGGTGCAACACGGGCGACTAATAAGGAGCAATAGGAAAAAACAGGCGGGGGTGGCGGGAGGAGGAAAAGACAGGCGGGGGCGGGGAGGGCGAAGAGGACACGACAGCCGGGAGCAAGGAGGCGGCAGGGGAGGGAAGCGCGGGGAAAAGTGGGCGGCGAGGGCGTTGGGAAAAGAGACCAAGGGGAGGAAGAGGAGGAAGAGGATGAAGAGGGAGAGGAAACGAACTCGAGTGTGACTGGTTGACCGAAGGCGCGGGCGCTGCCGGCTCCACGCGCTGAACTATCTTCGCCATCGTCGAAGTGATCAGGGAATGTTTGCGGCGGCAGACGTGATTCGCCGCGACAGAAGGAGGAGAAAGAGGAGGATGAGGACAAGGTAGGAGGACGAGGAGAAGAAGAAGGAGGAATTCTTCCCAACCGTCCTATGGTGTTGGGTCCCCGCTTCAAAGAGACAGCGCCCCGCGTCTCACCTCCTCGTGCCCTCCTCCCCCTCCTTGTTCCTCCCAGCCTTGCCCCTGCGCTCCGCGCGTCCACTTCGGCACGCCCTCGCACGTCTCGTGGCGCCACAGGGAGCCCCACTGAAGGCCCAACTTGCAGGGCCCCGCGTGCGGTTCCCCGCCGATTAGGGCACATTCCTCGCACGTCTCGCGGCCCCACAGGTAGCGAACGAGCATGCGCGGATGCCGCTCCGTGCGCGCGCCCCGAGCGCGCCTTCTAAAGAGGTCGGCGGCGGGGCCGTGGCCCCGCAAACTGCATCATCCCCTCGTTGTCGGGGCCCGTCGGGACGCCGCGCTGAGAACTGGCAACCGTGCGGGTCCCAACGATACGCTCTGTAACTCCATCAATCCGGGCTGCAATTGGCGATCCTCTGGACCCATTCCGCGTTTCCGAATGTCAACCCAATGCTCGAATTCCAAAATTGCGAACGCTTGCTCTGAACTGTGCGTGGTGCGTCGGAACCAGTCCACCCAAGATTCCAAGCGGAATCCGTTGCCTTTCGTGCTGCTGTCGCTGGTATTGGTTGTTCGTCTCCTCGGCAAACTTAAGATCATCCGTAGCATCCGGCGTTGAGTTGCCACCGCATGCCATTCCAGAGCAACTGTCATCGCCCATGATGCGAATCCGTATAAGATTGTAGGTGTCACGACGGCACTCAAGTCGAAATATGCCGCGTAATGGATATGACTGGCAAAGAAGTTCCTGTTTGAACAGCCAGAACTTCCTCCAGGTGGCTCGAATACGTGTGGGGCAGCCGCGACTGGGAATCGGCCAAACTTAAGGAGATGTCGACCCCTGCAGCGCCAGGAGGGAACGGCGGCTCCATCGCCTGCAGGAGGGCGCGCTCGCGCAGAGCGCAGGGCCCGCCACGCCCGCCCACGCGCGTCAGGGCCCGTCGAAGGCCGCGGCGATCCCGGCAGAGGTGTTGCCCCAGAAGCCGCTGCCGCTGGACCTGCTTGCCGCGGAGCCGCCGACGCACTGCCTTGGCCAGTGGCTGCGTCTGTGGGGATCGCCGCGCGCCGTTTTGTTGTTGTTGTTGTTGTTGTTGTTGTTGTTGTTGTTGTTGTTGTTGTTGTTGTTGTTGTTGTTGTTGTTGTTGTTGTTGTTGTTGTTGTTTTTGTTGTTGTTGTTGTTGTTGTGTTTGTTGTTGTTGTTGCTGTTGTTGTTGTTTTTGTTTTTGTTGTTGCTGCTGTTGTTGTATTGTTGCTGCTGTTGTTGTTGTTGCTGCTGCTGTTGTTGTTGTTGCTGCTGCTGCTGCTGTTGTTGTTGTTGTTGTTGGTGTTGTTGTTGTTGTTGTTGTTGTGTGTTTGTGTCTCCTATTTTTGTTTGCCTACGCAGCCTCCCCACATGTTCACGATGCTGTAGCTGAGCCTCGTCAACCCTTTTGCCCATCCCGCCGAGAAAGACTCTGGACCGTATCGCCCGTCTGCTTACGAAAATTGTCCTGTGGCTCTTTGGCGCTGGTGATGTCGGACTCCTGAATATCGTGCACATCCTCCTGGTAAGGCAACAGGTCGTCCGCATCCACCTCCAAGGATGAAAGGTTACCATTGGTACCACTTCGAATGTTACATTACGTGGTGCAGTCGCTGACCAGCTGGTTTGTTGCCTGCAAGACGTGGCTGAAATCTGCTCGTCTGTAAACAATGTCCGCGCCTTTCCAACTTCGCCAATTCACGATCAAGACGTTTCTCCCCGCCGTGGACCTTTTGCTCGGATTCCTGCAGCCCGAAGCCGGCGACGGACTGGCTTCACAGGCGGCGGCTTGGCTGCTCCCTGCTTGCGACGGAGATTAATTGAGCGCAGCCGCACTGCTGCCGTCGTATTGTTCACCAACCTTCACGAGCTGCTGCAACGAGGCAATGTCGGGCTCGGGGAGCCCACCAGCACCAGGAGAGGGGGGGCCGTCCAGAGCCTGCCAGGTCAACCGCTTTTCCCCCCGGCGCATCTCGGCCGCGTGCATTGGACGGGGCAAAGGTTTTACACTTGCAGTCTCCAAGCCCGTATGCCTAACGCTCCTCCCCCCGACGTGAACGCCAAGTGTCCGAAGTCCGCCAAAAAAGTCACGAGATGGGTTAGTAGTAGTCGTAAGGCTGCCACCAACGCTGCTGACTGGCACCGCCACACTTTCCAGTGTCCAGTGGCACGGCTAGGAGCGTTCCAGGTCCACTGCGGAAGCCGCGGGCGAGGAAGCAGCGCATCCTACCCATCCAGTGGATTCGAAGAGACTCACTCGCCAGGCCCGCTGTCTCAGCGCGCTTCCCAGAAGTGTGAGACAGCAAACATAACAGGGACCTGCTTCCCAGCTTGCGCCAGAAAGGCTGGAGATGAAGGGGAGGAGGAGGAAGAGGAGGAGGAGGAGGAGGACGGGGAGGAAACTTGAATAACAAGTTTGCCGAACAATCTGGCCGTTTTTGTTCGGGACTTCGGAAGCCTCGGGGGGACCCAAGGATTCTCGTGGCACCTTTGGATGCCTCCAGAGTCGAGCCTCGATGGTCGAGGACCGATGGTCACACACCTCTGCCGGCACGAACAGACATGCGTGCGTTCGACAATTCTTGGGCTCGGGGGCCCGCGGATGAGAAAGTGGATCCCCCCAATAAACCCATGGGACGCACAGAGACATACTAATACTATGTGTCCTCCTCGGAGGCGCGCGTCCGACCCGAACATATAGTACACCCATCTTGTAGTATATCGTTTCCCGAGCGGTGCGGCCAGAAAGCGCCCGCCACTACGCATATACTAGAAGATTTCTCGGGTGCGCGCGGCGCCCCTGGGGGGGCGACGCACATATAGTATAAGTGTGTTGGGTTGACGCCGACCCCACGTCACTAACAAAAACGCCCCGTCGGAAGGGAAATCGTGCGACTGCTCCTCAATGCGTGCTTGCATTCGAGGGCTCTTGCTACGTCTCTTCTGGACCAACTTGCTGGCATGTCAGGGATTCTCGCCCGTGGGCGCCTCGTGGGCGCCCCTTGGGCTGGCTGGCATTTCCGCGTTCTCGCTGGTTGCCGACCGTGGTCCTCAGATGCCGCCCGTGGGCAGCTCCTGTTCTTTATGTGGTGTGCACATGTGTACACAGATGAGGATGTGTATGTGTACATCGTGTGGCTGGAGTTGGAGACGTCGGAGACTGTGGTCATCCCTGACTCGGAATTACTTGGAGAGTCACTGCAGGACAGCACGTTCGGTCCAGGTCTTCTTTGCAGCGGCGTGCAACTGTTGAATGTCAAGGTTGAGGTGCAAGGTATGAACCACCTTCAGCAGACCACAAATAAGTGAGCTGACGGTCGTGGCCAGCGGCTTCTCATGGCCAACAATTGCAGTGAAGGCGCGTGCGATATGCATCATACTTAAACGTTTGTGTTGCTGGCTTTGAGCAATCGTTTTTCGATCAGGTCCCAAATTGGAAAACGACGGTGCTTGCTCGTGAACGCTCAGCTCGCCAATCATGCCAATGAGTGCAATTCCCTGTGCCGCATCATTCTCTCACAGGCACCTGCTAATTCTGCACGATTTGAAAAGCCTCACCTATGTACCCAGGAACTGTCAATTCATGGCCTGCTACGCAATAGGGGAGGTCCCCCATCCCCCAAGATCAGAGCTGCGAAGCAATGATTGCCTACTATGTTGTGTGATTTGTTTCTGCTCCCAGGTCGTCAACTGCGCGCCCACTGTCCCGACCTAGAACGCCCAGTTGATTGCGCAAGCGTCATAATCTGAAGACTCTCGCAACAACAGGTTGCCGTCATAGACGACTGACGCTGTATCATGTCTAGGGAGCAATTTCAAAAAAGAGCATCTGCTGCATGTGAAGCAATTCCAGCAGAGCGCCTGAGCTTGCACTCGAACTTGGCAGGCAGATAGAGAACTCGAAAACCATAACTCCCGCATCAGCAAGAACAACCGAATGAGGGGAAGGAGTAACTGCGGTACTATTCCCAATTCGTCGCGAAAGCCTCGCCCATATTAGACATGGCTTCGCTCAACTTGCGCGCATGGGCGGCGAGGATCCAGGGAGTGAAGGAAGGAAGAAGAAGAAGAAGAAGGCAGCACTATGGCCAACCCCAGATTCGGAATTGCCATGGCCTCCACGGATCGGCTTGCAACAATCAGTTCGCAATGCATGCACCAAAGGTAAACGTAAAAGCATACTCGCAGCAACGTGTTAGCGTGGTTGCATGCTGGCACTGTATGGACAACATGCACTGTGACACACGCCCGCAATGAAACAAATAACATGGCCTGTGGAGTTCCGGACCTGGCGCTCGAGCTGGGCAAGCCGACATACAAGATGAAAGGCGAGACCTCCCGCACTAGCAGGGCGAGCCAAGGGAAGGGAGAAGCAGCAGGAGGGGCATCATTTCCCTCCGATCATCGACGACGTACCAACTGGATTGGATGTGTTTGTGAACTCTGACTGTAACTACGGGGGCAGCGAACAGTCTAATCCGCCGATCCGGCGTGTGAGTTTCTGAGAGCGTGGGCTTGAGCTCGCTCAAGCTTCGCTCTGCGGGGGGGGGGACCTCATTTCCGACCTAATTCAGTGCTTCGCAGGGGGGGGGACCTCATTTCCGACCTATTTCAGTGCTTCGCAGGGGGGGGGGGACCTCATTTCCGACCTATTTCAGTGCTTCGCCCCCCCCCCCCCCCTCCAGAGCGGACCCATCCCCCCCCTGCAGAGCGCCCTCCCCCCCCCCCTCCTGCAGCCCAGCCCCCCCCCCTGCAGAGCGGACCCCCCCCCTGCAGCCCCTCCCCTGCAGAGCAGACTTTCCCCCCCTCCCCTGCACCCCCCCCCAGAGCAGAACCCCCTGCAGAGCGGACCTCCCCCCTGCAGCCCCCCCCTGCAGAGCAGAACCCCCTGCAGAGCGGACCTCCCCCCTGCAGCCCCCCCCCTGCAGAGCGAACCCCCCCCCTCCTCTGCCCCCCCCCCCTGCAGAGCAGAGCAGACCCCCTCTCCTGCACCCCGTTCCTGTGCAGAGCGGACCCCCCCCCTGCAGAGCGCCCCCCCCCCCCCCCCCCCCCTGCAGAGCGGCCCCCCCCCGTGCAGCCCCCCCCCCCCCTGCAGAGCGGACCCTCCCCTCTCCCCTGCACCCCCCCCCCCCCCTGCAGAGCAGACCCCCCCTCCTGCAGCCCCCCCCCCTGCAGAGCGGACCCCCTCTCCCTGCAGTCCCTCCCTCTGCCGAGCGGACCCCCAGAGCAGACCCCCCCCCTGCAACCCAGCTCCCCCCCCGTCGTCGTCGTCGCCGTCGTCGTCGTCATTGTCGTCGCGTCGTCGTCGTCGTCGTCGTCGTCGTCGTCGTCGTCGTCGTCGTCGTCGTCGTCGCCGTCGCCGTCGTCGTCGTCGTCGTCGTCGTCGTCGTCGTCGTCGTCGTCGTCGTCGTCGTCGTCGTCAACGTCGTCGTCGCTCGCGTCATCGTCGTCGTCGTGCTCGTCGTCGTCGCTCGCGTCGCCGTCGTCGTCATCGCCGTCGTCGTCGTCGTCGTCGTCGTCGTCGTCGTCGTGGCCGTTGTCGTCGTCGCTCTCGTCGTCGTCGTCGTCGACGTATTCGTTTTCGTCGTCGTTTTCGTCTTCCTCGTCGTCGTTCATTTCCACAGGCACCCGGAGCGCCCCGGATCGGCGGCACTGGCCGGAGGCCACTACAATAGCTCACTGACTGGCACAGGAGGCATACCGCAACATGTCCGTACGACACGTACTCTGCATAAGAGCGAACCCTCATCGCCTGTAGTAGTCGGCGAAGCCCTCAGCTCCTGGGGCGACGTAATTCACATTAAAGATCAAGAACTCCTCGAAATCAATGCTGCCGTCCAGGTTCGAATCCGCCAGGAGCCAGAGGGAGTGTCTGCGCGAGGCGGAGAGGCCGATGTCCCGCGGTATGTTGCCGCACCTGCAAAGAACTTTATCGAACTCCTGTTTCCTGATTCTGCCGCTGCGGTTTTCGTCCAACTCGTCGAACATGATCTTGCACCTTTCAACCTCGAACAGAGATACGTTGTACTTCTTGGCCAACCTGCGCAACTCACTCTCCTCGGGGGTGATGCAGAATGCCTCGTCAAAGGTCAGCAGCCGCATGCACTCGAGAAACTCGCCAAAGCTCAGAGAGCGGTCCTGGCTAACCTCGGCGGCGTCGAGCACCCTCTCGATGGAAAGCTTCACCCTCCGGATTCGGGGGGAGAGGGAGCACGCACCACAAGGCCCCAGCAGGCCGATCTCAGGACGGACCCACTCGCAACACTGGATTCGTATGGCGACGGTCAGGGACTCAATGTACGAGTCGAATCCTAGATTCACATACACACACTTCTAGGACTCACACACACAAGCACATATATGTATATCTGTGCATAGATACATATACATATAGTTACATACATGTATACCTACATACGTATACTTCGTACACGCCCATGTGTAGATCCACACAGACACTGCAATGGCCCTTCGAACCATGCACCTGGGCCCTTCAAATCTCGCATGCAAGCGGGACGAGAAGACACATATTTGTTTAGAGGTGAGGCCGACATGGCACGGGATGTGCCCGGGTACCTCTACCCGAAAATTATGTCGTTTCGTGCGCGACGCGCGTGCGGGCGAGGCGAAGCTGCGCGAATTCCTCCCCTGACTGAGGCCAAATCAGACGATGGTTGTCCCGATGGTTGTCTTGATGGTTGTCCCGATGCTTGTCCTGATGGCTGCCCCGATGGTTGTCCCGATGGTTTCCCCGATGCTGGACCCGATGGTTGTCCCAACTGCTGTCCTGATGGTTGTTTCGATTGATGCCCCGAAAATTGTCCCGATGGTTCTCCTGATGGGTGTCCCTATGTCCCTACGGTGGTCCTAATGGTTGTCTCGATGACTGCCCCCGATGGTTGTCCCGATGCTTGTCCTGATGGCTGTCCCGATGGTTTTCCCGATGGTTGTCCCGATGCTTGTCCCGATAGATGTCTCGATAGCTGTCCCGATGGTGATGGTTATGCCGATGGCTTTCCCGATGATTTCCCGATGCTGGTCCCGATGGTTGTCCCGACGGCTGTCTTGGTGATTGTTTCGATTGATGCCCTGGAAATTGTCCCGATGGTTATCCTGATGTTTGTCCCGATGGTAAGCCTTACGGTGGTCCTGATGGATGTCCCGATGACTGTCACGATGGTTGCCCTCATGCGTGTCCCGGCCCTTGTCCCGATAGTTGTTTTGATGTTTGTCCCGATGCGTGTCCCCATGGTTATGTCAGGCCAAATTGTAAAAATGATTGCTGGGAGGCAACAGTAAGAGCTGCAACACTATAGTGACAAAATGGGGTCTGAGAGGCGACGATAAGAAAGAACTCGATGTGCGAGGCTGTAACACCACAGAAGGCGCCGTTCGGGGTAACGTGGGGCAAACCATGTTTAAAAAGACACCCTGCGGGGAAACACACGTTGAACAATGCACCGTGCGGGGCAACAATCAATGAACAACGTGATGAAACCCGTTGCATCAACAACGCCATGCATGATCAACCAATGAAGAGACAATGTCACAGAGCCAATAAACTCTGAACAAACCATGGTACACACATGCGTATCTATACACGTACACAGACAAGTCAGACTGGAACCACGTTTATGTTCCGATGTGTGCCCATTCGTGATGCGAATTACCGGCTCAATGCATTCCACCGATGATGTCGATACACCCACAACCTCCTCATCACCCGAAGGGGGCTCTAATTGATGTGAGTGTATCTATATATGTACATAGGGAGGGAGGGAGGGAGAGAGAGGAGAAGACAGAAGAGGAGAGAAGGTACTCAGCACCCCGCAGATGCGGATAAGAGTGATGGGGGCGGTGGGGACGTCGGCAGACTGCGAGAGTTTTGAGGAGCCCGCCGCAGGCGCCACAGTTTCACAAATCATCAACGAGCCCGCCGCAGGCGCAGATTTGTTCGTTAAACCAACGTGGGTAGGTCGCGTCGCGGGTGGGTCGCAATTGGGTGCTCGCGGTTGGGTCGCGGGTGGGTCGCTGTTGGGTCGCGGCTGGGTCGCGGGTGGGTCGCGGGTTCGTCGCGGGGTGGGTCGCGGGTGGGTCGCAACTGGGTCGCGGGGTGGGTCGCGGGGTGGGTCGCGGGGTGGGTCGCGGGGTGGGTCGCGGGTGGGTCGCGTGGTGGGTCGCGGGGTGGTCGCGGGTGGATCGCGGGGTGGTCGCGGGGTGGGTCGCGGGTTGGGTCGCGGGTTGTCGCGGGTGGGTCGCGGGGTGGGTCCTGGGGTGGGTCGCGGGGTGGGCCGCGGGGTGGGTCGCGGGTGGGTCGACGACCAAAAACAACAATGCAACAACAATAATCTTCACCGCGGATCCCCACTTAAGCCACGCAATTCGGGACAATGAATGACCGCTCGGCCCCCTCACTCTGATTATAGTAATAAGGAGAAAACGTATCATCGCAGCAATAATGGTACACAGCGCATCATCATGCTACGGTTCATTAATAGCTAATAGCAACAAGACTCGTAATTAACCATGATAATATTACTATCAGCGGCAACCGTATTCGCAACAAGCACAAACAAAACAATTAGCCTGACGAAGGGCCCAGCCAGATGCAGCTGCGAGTGCTGCATTGTGGGTACCGCTTTCGGTGAAGCTCCCTCTGGGGCCACGAAACGTGCGATTGGTGCGCCGACATCGGTGGCGCGGACGCATGTGGACACCGCCACTGGGGCCTTCGGTGGAGCCCCCTATAGGGCCACGAAGCATTCTCCTAGGTGGGGGAAACGCATGCGAACGGTGCCACTGGGGCCTTCGGTGGAGCCCCTCATGGGGCCACGAAACGCTGTCCTGGGTGGGGGAGGCGCATGCGAACGGTGCCACCCGGGCCTTCGGTGGGGCTCCCTATGGGGCAACGAAACGTTGTCCTGGGTGAAAGACGCATGCGAACGGCGCCACTGGGGCCTTCGGTGGGGCCCCCCTATGGGACCACGATGCGCTGTCCTGGGCGGGGGAGACGCATGCGAACGGTGACACTGGGGCCTTCGGTGGGGCTCCCTGTGGAGTCACGAAACGCTGTCCAGGGTGGGGGAAACGCATGCGAACGGTGCCAGTGGAGCCTTTGGTGGAGCTCCTTATGGGGCCACCAAGCACTGTCCTGGGTGGGGTGGAGAAACCTGCGAACGGTGCCATTGGGGCCTTCGGTGGAGCGCTCATGGAGCCACGAGGCGGTGTCCTGGGCGGGGGAGACGCATGCGAATGGTGCCACTGGGGCCTTCGGTGGAGCTCCCTATGGGGCCACGAAGCGCTGTCATCGGTGGAGTTGACGCATACGGACCCTGCCACTGGAGCCTTCGGTGGAGCTCCCTATGGGGCCACGAAGCGCTGTCCTGGGTGGCGTTAGCGCATGCGGACCCTGCCCCTGGAGCCTTCGGTGGAGCTCCCCATGGGACCACGAAGCGCTGTCCTGCGTGGCGTTGACGCACCGCGTGAGGGGCGCGCCTAACTGGGGCCACGAAACGCTGTCGTGGGTGGCGTTGACGCATGCGGCCTGTGCCACTGAAGCCTTCGGTGGAGCTCCCGATGGGGCCACGACGCGCTGTCCTGGGTGGCGTTGGCGCATGCGGCCTGTGCCACTGGAGACTTCTGTGGAGCTCCCTATGAGACCACAAAGCGCTATCCGGGATGGCGTTGACGCATGCGGCCTATGCCACTGGAGCCTGCGGTGGAGCTCCCTATGGGGCCACGAAGCGCTGTCGTGGGTGGCGTTGACGCATGCGGCCTGTGCCACTGGAGCCTTCCGTGGAGCTCCCTATGGGGCCACGAAGCGCTGTCCTGGGTGGCGTTGACGCATGCTGACCCTGCCACTGGAGCCTTCGGTGGAGCTCCCTATGGGGCCACGAAACGCTGTCGTGGGTGGCGTTGACGCCTACGCCACTTGAGCCTCCGGTTGAACTCCCTGTGGGGCCACGACGCGCCGTCCTGGGTGGCGTTGACGCCTGCTGACTCTGCCACTGGAGCCTTCGGTGGAGCTCCCTGTGGGGCCACGCCACGCTGTACTCGGCGGGTGAATCGCATCGTGGTGACGAGGCTGATGGGAGGAGGGAGGAGGGGGAGGTGGAGGGGGAGGAGGAGCAAAGGAGACGAGAGGAGAGGAGGAGTGACGCGGGGCGCTGTCTCTTCAAAACGTGGACCCAACACCACAGGATGGTTGGGAAAAATGAAGACATCGCCATGCCTGGGATTGCGTCTGCGCTTCGCGGCGCCTGTCTGGGCGCCTCCCTAGATAGGTGGCGGTCCCCACATGCGGCCTGTGCCACTGGAGCCTACGGTGGAGCTACCTGTGTGGCCACGAACCGTGTGAGGGGTGTGCCTGCCTTCGGTGGCGCTGCCTATGGGGCCACGAAGCGTGCGAGGAGTGCGCCGGAATGAGTGGCGTTGACGCATGCTGACCTTGCGACTGGACCCTTCGGTGGAGCTCCCCATGGGACCACGAATCGTGTGAAGGGTGTGCCGAAATGAGTGGCGTTGACGCATGCGGACGCTGCCACCGGAGCCTTCGGTGGAGCTCCCTGTCGGGCCACGAACCGTGTGAGGGGTGGGCTGAAATGGGTAGCGTTGACGCACACGGACCCTGCAACTGGAGCCTTCGGTGGACTTCCCTATGGGAACACGAACCGCGTGAAGGGTGCGCCTAAATGGGTAGCGTTGACGCATGCGGCCTGTGCCACTGGAGCCTCGGTGGAGCTCCCTGTGAAGCCACGAAACGCTGACGTGGGTGGCGTTAGCGCATGCGGCCTGTGCCACTGGAGCCTTCGGTGGAGCTCCCTATGGGGCTACGAAACGCTGTCCGGGATGGCGTTGACGCATGCTGATCCTGCCACTGGAGCCTTCGGTGGAGCTCCCTATGGGGCCACGAAGCGCTGTCCTGGGTGGCCTTAGCGCATGCGGCCTGTGCCAGTGTAGCCTTCGGTGGAGCTCCCTATGGGGCCACGAAGCGCTGTCCTGGGTGGCGTTGACGCATTCGGCCTGTGCCACTGGAGCTTTGTGTGGAGCTCCCCATGGGGCCACGAAGCGCTGTCCTGTGTGGCGTTGACGCATGCGGCCTGTGCCACTGGAGCCTTCGGTGAAAATCCGTATGGGGCCACGAAGCGCTGTCCTGGGTGGCGTTGGCGCATGCGGCCTGTGCCACTGGAGCCTTCGGTGGAGCTCCCTATGGGGCCACGACGCGCTGTCCTGGGTGGCGTTGGCGCATGCGGCCTGTGCCACTGGAGACTTCTGTGGAGCTCCCTATGAGACCACAAAGCGCTATCCGGGATGGCGTTGACGCATGCGGCCTATGCCACTGGAGCCTGCGGTGGAGCTCCCTATGGGGCCACGAAGCGCGGTCGTGGGTGGCGTTGACGCATGCGGCCTGTGCCACTGGAGCCTTCGGTGGAGCTCCCTATGGGGCCACGAAGCGCTGTCCTGGGTGGCGTTGACGCATGCTGACCCTGCCACTGGAGCCTTCGGTGGAGCTCCCTATGGGGCCACGAAGCGCTGTCCTGGGTGGCGTTGACGCATGCGGCCTACGCCACTTGAGCCTCCGGTTGAACTCCCTGTGGGGCCACGACGCGCCGTCCTGGGTGGCGTTGACGCATGCGGGCTGTGCCACTGGAGCCTTCGGTGGAGCTCCCTGTGGGGCCACGCCGCCATGCACTCGGCGGGTGAATCGCATCGTGGTGACGAGGCTGATGGGAGGAGGGAGGAGGGGGAGGTGGAGGGGGAGGAGGAGCAAAGGAGAAGAGAGGAGAGGAGGAGTGACGCGGGGCGCTGTCTCTTCAAAACGTGGACCCAACACCACAAGATGGTTGGGAAAAATGAAGACATCGCCATGCCTGGGGTTGCGTCTGCGCTTCGCGGCGCCTGTCTGGGCGCCTCCCTAGATAGGTGGCGGTCCCCGCATGCGGCCTGTGCCACTGGAGCCTACGGTGGAGCTACCTGTGTGGCCACGAACCGTGTGAGGGGTGTGCCTGCCTTCGGTGGCGCTGCCTATGGGGCCACGAAGCGTGCGAGGAGTGCGCCGGAATGAGTGGCGTTGACGCATGCTGACCTTGCGACTGGACCCTTCGGTGGAGCTCCTCATGGGACCACGAATCGTGTGAGGGGTTTGCCGAAATGAATGGCGTTGACGCATGCGGACGCTGCCACCGGAGCCTTCGGTGGAGCTCCCTGTCGGGCCACGAACCGTGTGAGGGGTGGGCTGAAATGGGTAGCGTTGACGCACACGGACCCTGCAACTGGAGCCTTCGGTGGACTTCCCTATGGGGCCACGAACCGTGTGAGGGGTGCGCCTAAATGGGTAGCGTTGACGCATGCGGCCTGTGCCACTGGAGCCTTTTGGTGGAGCTCCTGTGGGGCCACGAAACGCTGTCGTGGGTGGCGTTAGCGCATGCGGCCTGTGCCACTGGAGCCTTCGGTGGAGCTCCCTGTGGGGCTACGAAACGCTGTTCGGGATGGCGTTGACGCATGCGGCCTGTGCCACTGTAGCCTTCGGTGGAGCTCCCTATGGGGCCACGACGCGCTGTCCTGGGTGGCGTTGGCGCATGCGGCCTGTGCCAGTGGAGCCTTCTGTGGAGCTCCCTATGGGGCCACGAAGCGCTGTCCTGGGTGACGTTGACGCATGCGGCCTGTGCCACTGGAGCTTTGTGTGGAGCTCCCTATGGGGCCACCAAGCGCTGTCCTGGGTGGCGTTGACGCATGCGGCCTGTGCCACTGGAGCCTTCGGTGGATCTCCCTACGGGGCCACGAAACGCTGTCCTGGTTGGCGTTGACGCATGCGGCCTGTGCCACTGGAGCCTTCGGTGGAGCTCCCTATGGGGCCACGAAGCGCTGTCCGGGATGGCGTTCCGCATGCGGCCTGTGCCACTGGAGCCTTCGGTGGAGCTCCCTGTGGGGCCGCGAAGCGCTGTCCTGGGTGACGTTGACGCTTGCGACCTGAGCCACGAAACGTTGTCCTGGGTGGCGTTGGCGCATGCGGCCTGTGCCACTGGAGCCTTCGGTGGAGCTCCCTGTGGGGCCACGAAGCGCTGTCCTGGGTGGCGTTGACGCTTGCGGAGCTTCAGATGGGGCCACGACGCGGTGTTCCGGGTGGCGTTGACGCATGCGGCCTGTGCCACTTGAGCCTTCGGTGGGGCTCCCTACGGGGCTACGAAGCGCTGTCCTGGGTGGCGTTGACGCATGCGGCCTGTGCCACTGGAGCCTTCGGTGTAGCTCCCAGTGGGGCCAAGACGCGCTGTCCTGGGTGGCGTTGGCGCATGCGGCCTGTGCCACTGGAGCCTGCGGTGGAGCTCCTAATGGGGCCACGACGCGCTGTCCTGGGTGGCGTTGACGCATGCGGCCTGCGCCACTGGAGCCTTCGGTGGGGCTCCCCATGTGGGTCCACGAAGCGCTGTCCTGGGTGGCGTTGGCGCATGCGGCCTGTGCCACTGGAGCCTTCGGTGGAGCTCACTATGGGGCCACGAAGCGCTGTCCTGGGTGGCGTTGACGCATGCGGCCTGTGCCACTGGAGCCTTCGGTGGAGCTCCCTACGGGGCAACGATGTGCTGTCCTGGGTGGCGTTGACGCATGTGGCCTGTGCCACTGGAGCCTTCGGTGGAGCTCCTTTTGGGGCCACGAAGCGCTGTCCTGGTTGGCGTTGGCGCATGCGGCCTGTGCCACTGGTGCCTTCGGTGGAGCTCCCAGTGAGGCCACGACGCGCTGTTCTGGTTGTCGTTGGCGCATGCGGCCTGTGCCACTGGAGCCTTCGGTGGAGCTCCCTGTGGGGCCACGCAGCGCTGTCCTGGGTGGCGTTGACGCATGCGGCCTGTGCCACTGGAGCCTTTGGTGGAGCTCCCTACGGGGCCACGACGTGCTGTCCTGGGTGGCGTTGACGCATGCGGCCTGTGCCACTGGAGCCTGCGGTGGAGCTCCCTACGGGGCCACGAAGCGCTGTCCTGGTTGTCGTTGGCGCATGCGGCCTGTGCCACTGGTGCCTTCCGTGGAGCCCCCTGTGGGGCCACGACGCGCTGTCCTGGGTTGCGTTGGCGCATGCGGCCTGTGCCACTGGAGACTTCGGTGGAGCTCCCTGTGGGGCCACGACGCGCTGTCCTGCGTGGCGTTGGCGCATGCGGCCTGTGCCACTGGAGACTTCGGTGGAGCTCCCAGTGGGGCCACGAAGCGCTGTCCTGGGTGGCGTTGACGCATGCGGCCTGTGCCACTGGAGCCTTCGGTGGAGCTCCCTACGGGGCCACGACGTGCTGTCCTGGGTGGCGTTGGCGCATGCGGCCTGTGCCACTGGAGCCTGCGGTGGAGCTCCCTACGGGGCCACGAAGCGCTGTCCTGGGTGGCGTTGGCGCATGCGGCCTGTGCCACTGGTGCCTTCGGTGGAGCTCCCTGTGGGGCCACGGCGCGCTGTCCTGGGTGGCGTTGACGCATGCGGCCTGTGCCACTGGAGCCTTCGGTGGAGCTCCCTACGGGGCCACGAAGCGCTGTCCTGGGCGCTGTTTCTTCCAAACGAGGACCCAACACCACGGGATGGTTGGGAATCAGATCTCACGAGAGCCCACGGAAGTCCAAACAGCCAGCGAGGGCCTCAACACGGACCAATGGAGCCAACAGGCCGCCCCAACGGACCCCAAGTCGCCACACATGGGCCCGAGACGGCCCCAGAGGGCTCCAAGACGACCCGAGAGGCCACCCAGACGGCCTCGCAACGGCCCTACGAGACCCGAAGGACGTGCCCAATGGCAACGGTGGATTGGTGAAGCGACAGTCTGGCCCAATTTGGACCAAGCCTGGCGGTGGTGTGTACTCCCCCTCTCCCGATAACGGACAGCGACGGCAGCGCCTCCCCGTCCGAGATGAGGCTTCTCCGCGCAAGCCTGGCGAACTGCTCCTGCCCAATCCGCCCGTCCTTGAGCAGCTCGGCCCCTGCAGCGAGGGGCTCCGCGTGGTCCCGGAAAAGGGCGTACGACCGCTGCATCTCTGCCACCGGCACCCGCATGGCCCTGGCCAGGCGGCAGACCTTCGGGCGGGTGGTCAGGGGGGGTGACCTACACTGGGGCGAAGAGAAACAGAAAAGGAGGAGGAGGAGGAGGAGGAGGAGGAGGAGGAGGAGGAGGAGGAGGCGTCGGGACGAGGGAAGAGGGAGGAGGGAAGGGCCCAAAAGGGGCCCTGTAGTGCCACTGCTGGCTCCAAAAAAGGAGCCCTGCATGGCCCCTTCCTCACCCCCCCTTTAAGTAACCACCTTCGGTGGCAACTCAAGGGAGCCTCCCACACCATCTTGCCGGCTCTTGCGAATCGACGCTAGTCGACGCTAACTCGACGCTAAGTCGACGCTAAATCGACGCTGACCGACGCCAAATCAGCGTTATCGCATCGACTCCCAGACGCTATTTCACCGACGCTTATCAACGCTAAAGACGGAACTGCGAGGGTACACCAGGCCCCCATGATCTGCGACCAAAACCCCCACATTTTGAGCAAGGACTGACCGTCCCGGCATTACTATAGGCCTACCGCGACATGTTACTGGAGCCCAAACATGTTCTAATAACAAAAACACATGTACTTAGAACAGGCACCCGATGTGCTAAAACAAGACAGTCCCAGCCAGGAATGCGCTAAGAACATCTCGTGCAGACCACGAAAGGTTATGAGAACATTCTTGGTGGGCCTATAGGCAAGCCAGGACGCTTCGCCACTGCTCGACAATTGGAGCGCGTTTCTTTTTCGGCGATAATGGGCATTAAAAGAGGGGGGGAGGGGCCAGGGGCGGGTATAATGTAACGCCCCCCCCCGCCGTGCGCACGGCGGCAGTGCCCGGAGCGCACTGGGGAGGAGGGAGGGGCGTTCCATTATAGGGGGGGGGGCCGGAGGGGGAGCCGGGGGCTATAATGCCCATCGTGCCCCAAGCAATAAAGAAACACGCTCTTGCCACCCGGCCATGCACTGGCGGCGCTGGCGATGCGTCGGCGACGTCGACGTGAAGCAAATCGGGTTTCGCATCGGGCCGCATCGGCGATGCATGGCCGATGCATCGGCGCTGCGGCACGCTCCTCCGACCCCACCTGCGCCGACCCCATCCAGGAGGCCTGGACTACAGTAGGCGACGAGCCCAGGGGGGAAATGAGAAGGAGAAGGCCTTCTCAGAAGGCCGCGGGACTTCTTAGAAGTCCGGGGGGCTTCTGAGACGTTTCCTTGGCCTATTTCGAATACAGACGGAACTTCTCAGAAGCCCTCTCAGAAGTCCAGAAACTTCTCAGAAGCCTCGGAAGTCCCGCCCCTTCTCATTTCCCCCCGCGCCCGCCGCCGATACAGGCAAGCCAGGACGCCTCGCCACTGCACGACATTCGCCGCCCGCCCGGGACCTGCGCGACGTCGCTGCCGCTGCCGCGGGCCGCCCCGCCCCCTCGAGCGCCCACGGGGCCCACGGCGGGCAGCGAGCTCCGCGCCGGCTCCGGGCCCTCCCGGGCGGGCGCCCCGCGCGAGGGCCTGCGCCCGCCGCGCCTGGAGTCAGGTCAGGCACGTCCTCCCAAGAGGCGGATTCCGGAAGAAACATGACGCTAGCCCGACGAAGGCCCCAGCCATATGCAAATGCGAATGCCGCCTTGTGGGTACCGCTTTCGGTGGAGCTCTCCTTGGGGCCACGAAGCGTGCGAGGGGTGCGCCGAAATCGGTGGCGCGGCCGCATGCATGTGGACACCGCCACTAGGGCCTTCGGTGGAGCTCCCTATTGGGCAGCGAAGCGTTGTCCTGGGCGGGGGAGACGCATGCGAACTGCGCCATTGGGACCTTCGTCAGAGCTCCTTATGGGGTCACGAAGCGCTGTCATGGGTGTGGGAGATTCATGAGACCTGCGCCCACTGCCGCCTTCGGTGGAGCTCCCTATGGGGCCACGAAGCGCTGTCCGGGGTGGGGGGGACGCATGCGAACGGTTCCACTGGGGCATTCGGTGGAGCCCCCTATGGGGCCACGAAGCGGTGTCCTGGGTGGGGGAGACGCATGCGAACGGCGCCACCGGGACATTCGGTGGAGCCCCCTATGTGGCCACGAAGCGCTGTCCTGGGTGGGTGGGACGCATGCGAACGGTTCCACTGGGGCATTCGGTGGAGCTCCTCATGGGGCCACGGCGCGCTGTCCTGGGCGGGGGAGACGCATGCGAACGGTGTCACTGAGGCCTCCGGTGGAACTTTCGATGGGGCCTCTTGGGCGGGGGAAACGCATGCGAACGGTGCCATTGGGGCCTTCGGTGGAGCTCCCCTATGGTGCCACGAAGCGCTGCCATGGGTGGCGGTGGGGCACGCGGACCCTGCCAGTGGGGCTTTCGGTGGAGCTCCCTGTGGGGCCACGAACTGTGTGAGGGATGTGCCTACATGGGTGGCGTTAATCCATGCGGACCCTGCCACTGGAGCCTCCGGTGGAGCTCCCTAAGGGGCCACTAAACTCTTTCCTGAGTGGCGTTGGCGCATGCGGACCCTGCCACTGGAGCCTTCGGTGGAGCTCCCTATGGGGTCACGAAGCGCTGTCCTGGGGCCACGAAGCGCTGTCCTGGGTGGCGTTGAAGCATGCGGACTCTGCCACTGGAGCCTTCGGTGGAGCTCCCTGTGGGGCCACGAAACGCTGTCCTGGGTGGCGTTGGCGCATGCGGCCTGTGCTACTGGTGCCTTCGGTGGAGCTTCCTTGGGGCCACGACACGCTGGGTGACGTTGACGCACGGACCCTGCCACTGGAGCCTCTGGTGGAGCTCCCTGTGGGTCCACGAAACGCTGTCACGGGTGGCGTTCGCATGCGGACCCTGCCGCTGAAGCCTTGGGTGGAGCTCGCTATGGGGCCACGAAGCGCTGTCCTGTGTGGGTGAAACGCAAGGAGGTGACGAGGCGGCTGGGAGGAGGGTGGAGGAGGAGGAGGAGGAGGAGGAGGAGGAGGGGGAGGAAGAGGAGAGGAGAGGAGTGACGCGGAGCGCTGTCTTTTCAAAACGAGGACGAGGTAGAGAAGGATGGGGAGAAGGAGGAGAGGAGGAGAGGAGAGGAGGGACGCGGGGCGCTGTCTCTTCAAAGCGAGGACCAACACCACAGGACGGTTGGGAAATATCTGAACAACGTTTAAACAGACGCAAGGCTATAAAGGTACAAGCAAATCAAACCTACACAACATTCAAGCGGAAGAAACAATACTAGTCAAAACAGATCGTCCCCAGGTTATGTTTCAAGTACTTCTGGAAATTCCTGCTGCAGAGGGACACGCCCGACTCGAGCCTGGAGCGGAGCGCGTCCACCACCGCCGCGGGCGCGCCGTCGGCCCCGTCGCCGGGGGACCCGAGCCGCGGAGTGGACGCGGGCCACGACGGCAGCGAGGAGGCGCTGCGGCTGCTCCGCGAGGGCGGGCGGCTGCCCGCGGGGGAGCCGCAGGCCGTGCTGGGGGTCGCGCAGCCCGTCGGGGGGCAGGGCGCAGCCTTCCAAGGCGCGGCGAGGTCGCCGGGCCCGGGGCGGCGGCGCCCGCACGCCGTCAGGGGCCAGGGCGTCAGATCGGCGGCTCAAGGAGGGTGCCCTGCAGGTGGGGGGCCCTGCGTGGGCCAGCAGTGGGCCACGAGCTGGACCTCCACTGCTCGAGGCTCTCGCCGTCGGGGCCCCATCCCCACCGAGTCGGGGCCCCACCTTGAGCCGCCGAGAAGAGCGGTGGGCGCGGAGCGCCCTGCCGCGGCGCGGGAGCCCGAGTCCGGCGCCGGCAGCTGCGGCAGGGAGTGGGAGTGCGACCTGAGCCGGAGGCAGCCCGGGCTGCCGGAGCGTCGGCGGGGGGCCTCCCAAGCGCTCTGGCCCCTGGCGGCCACCTGCGGCATCGGCCAGGCCGTGCACAGCGGGAGGCAATCGGCCGCAGCTGAGGGGTGCGCCGCCAGCTCGGGAGCACAAGGCCGCTTCCGCCAGCAAGAAGCGGAATAGAAAGCAGCTTGGGCCAAAATGGCTACGGAAGGACTGCGCACCGTGGCCATGGCAACTCGACCTGCGTAAGCTGCACACGACAATATCTGGAAGCCTCCTGGGAAACTTGGGGGGGAGCAAGAGGATTGCTGGCAATTCCAGTTCAACGGAAATCGGTACCACACGTAACCACGGTCAGTGTGCTTCAGCCTCTGCTGGTTTTCACTCTTCTTGGGGATTTCCGACATTAGCTACATCTTTGAATCCGTTCCTCATTCTCCTCCTGCCCCTCTGGCACTACAACCCCGCGAGCCGTCTGAGCGCAATTGCTCTGGGGCGCTTCCTCTTCCAACCCCTGTCTTCCCCTCCGGGGAGAAGCTCACCACTGCTGCATATTACTATGCACCTGCTCTCCCACTCCACTGGCCCATAAGCCAGGCCAGTGTCAACCCCCACTATTTCTGCCCAAGGGACAGTATAACATACACTTTGCGCTATACGTCGTTCATTTCTAATCGTGCTCACTTCTAAGTGTGCTCGTTTCTGATTGTTCCTGGCCCCCAGTGGCCAGGAAGAGGCCCAGGATAGAACACTTAGGAATGAAAGGATCTTGGCCCCCCACCAATCAAAGACGTTTCGAAGACTTCGAAATGACCAATGTGTACACCTGGATCATGCTCGGGCGCCCACGATGGCTTCCCTTCCCGCTGCTGTTTGGCGGGGGCGAACGGGGGGGGGCAGCAGACTCCCACGTGCACAGGCCCACCATCCCTTTTGAACTTTAGTCGGGCGTGTCCCCGTACAGGGGGATTTTCGCTGAAAGATAAAATATATTCAAAAAATACTCCAAAGTGGCCAAACAATGCTTAAACAATAGTCCCCAGACTATGTTTGGACTATTTTTGAATATTCCCCCTGTAGAGGGACATGCCCGACCTAATTCTAAACACGAAGGCAGAGTGCATGTTGTCGCAGAATCTCGGACCATGCGCGGGCGCTCCGCCATCATCTCGCACTGCTACCTGACAGTGATGATCGGAGTGCGCCATGGCACGCGCGGCGCACCTCTCGTGAGCGTCGCGCACCTGGCTGGCACCTGCACTGGTTCCCGACGGCCGTCGATGGCGGCTCCTGGTCGTGCTGAGACTCCTGTGCTACTTGTGTGTTGGAGAGGGCGGCCGGGAGAGAGCAGGACGGCTTGCGGCGTGCGGATGGACTTGACCCCTCACCCTGCCACCTCCCGTTTCGAGCCTGGACGTCCCGGCCCGCGAAGGTCTAGACCCTCCCCACCGGCCTCCAGGGTTCCCGGAGAGCCCGGAGAGACTCGCAGAGATCTCTAATTTTACCCTTGCTGCCTGTTGCCCCCATATTGCGCGATGTGTTTATCCTCTTTCCTTCTCCCAACAGCTCACCCTTCGCCCAACAATTATTCGACGCGAAGCGTCCACAACTGTATAACTTCAACATTGATATGAAGCACGATCTCGAAGATGCGAAATCAACAACAACGACGTAACTCCACGCTGACCTATCATGCTGCTTCGGATGCTTGGGCAAAAAACAAAATGCAAGTAATGGGATGGCTCACCACGTCCTCCAACGTCCCGGACACAGCCGTGACCGCATAGGACACGCTACCTCCCGACACCATAATCTGCTCTGCTCGTCTCGTCCTGCTAAAAGTCCGCAACTGCAGCATGTAGCTCTACAGGAACCAGTGCCCTATGAACCGCACTAACCGAATGGAAGTGCAGGCTCGCTGTCCGCACGCCAATCCACCAACGACCACGTGCACAACTATGCCACCTCAACCAGGTTTTGGGGGCTCTCCCCCTCTCGCTCGCATTGCACCTCGCGTGCTGTAACGTCTCCTCAGCTTACGGTTTGCACACGGCTCTCGTGTGCTGCAGTGTGGCTGGGACGACTAGCCACACAGCGGCATTTGAATTCCTCTTGTTTCGTGGAGAACAGGAGCGAGCACTAACAAATCAGCACGCCAACCAGTTCCCTCCCCCTTCATTCCTCCTCCCTAATTATTCGTGCGTCCTCCTTCTTCAATCCTCAATTCATACTCTTCTCTCTCCACCATCCTCCTCCCATCCAATGGTGCACGTACGTCTTCCTAATCAATTTCCTCCTCCCTCGTCCTCCTCCTCCTCCTCCCCCTTCTCAACTTCCTCCTCTCGGATCCTCCTCATTTTCCGCATCATCCAACTCTTCATTCCCCTTCGCTTGCAGATACTCCTTCAACTCTTGGAGAATTCGGCACCAAGCCTCTTCATTGGACGCCGGCCCCGACCATGACCGAGACTGTCACATTCGGACACCAAAGCCCACACCTGAGCCACGAGGAGAAGTGGAAGGAGGAGGTCTGCAAACACAGCCTTACGCGATTGCTGGCGCAGGCCACCACAATGGCACACAGCGTCGAACCTCAAGGCGCTGGCGGACAACTTCGCGCGGACAACGTGCGCGCGCCTGTGCTGCCTGCTTATGTCCCTCGCTTGTCCGCAACTATTACGCTAAGCCGCTAGAATACAAAAGAAAGATGCGAGGACGGGGTCAAGGGCCCGTGGGCTCCCAAAGCCCTGCTGATCTTGTGAAATGGACGACCCGAAGAAGCAAGGATGCAAAGGCCACCCTTGACGTATTTAAAAAAACACCGGTCCTCAACAAAAACGGGTCTGGGACCCTGGGGTTCCCCCCGGGACCAGCATGCTTTCAAAACCAAATCGTTTGTTGACGGCGCTAGGGACTTGAAAGGGCACCGTGAGCCCCTGAAACAGCGAAGTGCCTCATGACCCTGCGACCTCACTCATGACTCGTTGTCCCAACATCCTGAATACGGGACTCTTGATATGAGTGGGGCTCACACCACTCACACTCAGATCCACTCATCATTTGCGTCATGCTCAGAATCCTGCGCAGTGACACTCTGATCATTCACGCCCAAGCTCACTCAGATTCAGCCTCTCTCGCAATCAGACTGGCCCACGCCCTGTTACTCACGCGTGCTCACCGCGATGTGGTCGTTAGGCGTAGCACGCAGGCACCCTAAGGGAGAGAGCCGCCAGCTGGTGTTACACTTGCCCGTTTGCGCACAGATTGCGGGGATGCCTCTTGCGAAACGCTTGTTTGGCCAACCAGACTCCTCTCTTCACAAAGCCCCATAATCACAGCGATAAAGCATTCATGCAATTCGGGCACCCTGAGAGGGGAGCCGCCGCAAAGTGTTACTATCACCGCGGCGCACCGGGTATCAAATTTGGCACCCGAAAAGGGGTCCGCCAGGGTGTAGGGGACTCACCTATTCGTGCCCAAACTGTGAGACAAACTCAAGCGAAACGATGTGTTTGCGTTCCCCCGCTCTTATAGTTTCAGACCCCCATGATCACCGCGATGCAGCAGGCGAGGCATGTGGCAACCAAACGAGACACAGTCATGTTCATATCCACTTGCTTTCATACCCGAATGTATTCAATTAGCAGTACATACCGAATTCCACTCACACTGGGACTCGTTCGTTTGAGGGAATTTGTCCTGATAATTCACGGCGTCCTGACCCCCGGCGCGTGAAATAGTGGGTCACCAGCCGCCGTCCGTGTTCCGATTCCCAAAAATCTGGAAATCCAGCAAATCTAATGACGAATTCCAAATTGGTGGGACAACCACAGGAAACCGGCCCCCAGAGCCTCCCAAAGGAGGCACAAGGCTTCTTGTTCCACTTCCATATTAAGGCAAACTCGGACATGTGGCGACGAATTCCAAACCGGCGCCCTCGCGTGGGGCATCCTCAGAAAAACGGCCCCCCGAGCCTCCCCACGGAGGCCCTCAGAGGGCCCCGTGTTATGCGTTGCAGGCGCGCAGGGCACGGCAGGCGTGGCACCTTCTCGACACCGCGGCGGGCGCGCTGGGGGCAGGCTCGCAGGGCACGGCAGGCGTAGCACTTTCCTCGGCACCAAAAGGGGCGCATGGGGGCGATGGTCCCTATGCGTTGCAGTCGCGCTGGGCACGGCGGGCGAAGCGATCCTTCGACGCTAGAAGGTGCGCGCAGGGATTGCGGTCTCTATGCGTTGACTGGCGTCACCAACGGTATCGGCGGGGCAACGGCCATCAACCTCATGTTCGTAAACTTCACTTCAGCTATCATCACTCCGGCCATCATATAAGTATGTGGGGTTCCTCGGTAACGTCATTGTAAAAGCGTAGTAAAGTCGTCGTCGTCGCCGTAGTAGTAGTAGTAGTAGTAGTAGTAGTAGTAGTAATAGTAGTAGTAGTAGTAGTAGTAGTAGTAGTAGTCGTAGTCGTAGTAGTAGTAGTAGTAGTAGTAGTAGTAGCAACAGTAGTCGTGGTAGTAATTGTAACACGGCTTCAGTGGTAGAAGTAGTAGTAGCAATAGTAGTAGTAGTAGTAGTAGTAGTAGTAGTAGTAGTGGTAGTAGTAGTAGTAGTAGTAGTAGTAGTAGTTATACTAGTAGTAGTACGAGTAGTAGTAGTTGTAGAAGTAGTAGTAGTTGTAGTAGTAGTAAAAGTAGTAGTAGTCGTGGTAGTAGTAGTTATAGTCGTGGTACTAGTACTTGTACTAGCTGTAGTAGTAGTAGTAGTAGTAGTAGCAGTAGTAGTAGTAGTAGTGGTGGTGGTGGTAGTAGCAGTAGTAGTAAGTAGTAAGTAGTATTAGTCGTAGTACTAGTAATAAAAAGAGTACTAGTAGTAATAGTAGTAGTAA